CTTAGGAACACTGAGGCAAAGAACTCGTTGAGGAGTTCAGCCTTGTCCCCCCTGTCCATCACCAATTGCTTATGCCCATTTAGCAGGGGTCCTATTCCACCCTGGGCCTTCCTTTTACTCCCTATATATCTAAAGAACAATTTTTTTGTTATCCTTAACTTGGGATGCCATCCTCAGCTCCATGGTAGCTTTGGCCCGTCTAATTGCCTCCCTATAGTTAGGGACTGTTCAAGTGTGAGCAGAGGAGGTATACTCCTCTTTAGTAATCTCTCCCTGTTTCCACTTTTTATATGCCCCCCTTTTAGCCCGTAGACTGCTCTGGATTTCTCTGGTCAGCCAAGCAAGCCCTTTGACCCCTTTCCCCCTTTTTCCCTGCATCGGGATCATCTCCCTCTGTGCCCGAAGGATCTTTTCCTTAAGGCACAGCCACCCTTCCTGGGCCCCCATCTCTTCAAAACTCTTACTCTGCAGTATGTCCTTGACTAATCGCCTGAGTTCATTGAAATCAGCTTTCCTAAAGTCTAGCACTTTCCCCCTACTAGTTACCTTACCCCCTCGACATCTTATGATGAATTCTATTATTTGGTGATCACTGTCCCCCAGGTGACCACCGATCTGTAGGTCCCCTACCATATCATCCCCTGTTGCCAATACCAGGTCCAGCAAGGCCTTCCCCCTAGTGGGACCATGTACCTCCTGCATCAGATGGAGGTCCTGTACACAGGATAGGAACCTGTGTGAACGGTGGGACTTTGCTGTCTGCGTTTCCCAGCAGATGTCTGGGTAGTTTAGGTCCCCCATGACTACCGCCTCCCTAGTTTTTATGGTCTCCGGGAGCTGCCTCGGGAGTCCCAAATCTAGTTTTTCCCCTTGGTGTTAGGGTCTGTAGCAGACCCCTACAACCAAATCCCTTTCTCCTTGACCTCCATGTAACCTAACCCACAATCTTGGTGAGCTTCTTCTGGCTTTGTCACCTTACTGTCCATAACGCAGGAGGGGGCTCTCCCCTTGTTGAGCAAAGAGGAGAAAGAAAGTTCTTGCCTCCTTGCCATTGTTCCTGACTTAACCCTGAATTAGGCTAATTCTAAAGTCCAAAAGCTGTTTTTCCGTCTTAACTTTTTCTTTTTTGTGAAGATTTTTCCCCCTCTCTTTTTTCTGATTGTTTATGTTGCCTTTTTCTGGCTTGTCAGAAATAAAACCTTACAGCTGTGAGGGGAAAAAATCCTTACCACTTCATGATCTCAGTGTTGCTAAAAGGCTGACAGGATGTAAATTCTAGCAATAGCCAAAATATTTGGGGACTTCAAGATAAAGAATGATTTCTAATGAGAAAAGAAAGGCCCCAATCAAGAATGGAGCCCATTATTTATTACAGGTACAATGAGAGAGAGTCCCTGTCATGAAGAGCTTGCAGTCTCAATAGATGAGTCAAATAAGTGAAAAGAAAAGTAGAGAAGAATTGAATACCTTTCCAAAGGTCACATAGGTCAGTGGCAGAGCCTGGGCTTTGTAGAACCCAGTCTTTTTCCTCTTGCATATGCAGGGCAGGGGGAGTCCTAGTTTGCAGAACAGCCAAATGATAACCTTGGTACAGGCACAGAGTGGGATCAGAGATGGTGCTTCTCTGATTGTTGCCTTGAATCGTTTTTGAGTCCCACACTCCAAGCCCAGCCAAATTCTTCTTGGAGAACTTCCCCTCACTTGTAGGCAGAGGTGTGGTAGTAATTCACAGTCAGACCAGTATGCTGTATCACTCAGCTTAAATGCATTTGATGGCAAACAAACATTTTATATTTTTTCCCCTTCCTTAATTCCTTCTTGATAAACTATGTATTTGCCACCTGTTTAATTTTCTTACGCATGCAGCTACTGATGTACTTGCTATGTTTAGCTATGTTAGTTTGCCACATATATTCTTAGACTGTTACAGCACCTCAAAAGAATAGATAATCCTCTACTATGTGTGGCTGCATTTGAATAGATATGGTGACCTCAAACCTAGTAAAAATAGATTTTTTTATTTTTTTATTTTTTTTAATTGGAATAAATAAATTACTCCTGGAGTGCAGCTGATGTCAAGTTTATTTCAAATTCTTCTTAGAGCAGAATTGGCTGTAACTGAGAGATCAGGAGTCACAAGTTGAATAAGGTCATACCACCAGGGCTTGGTGTAGATTTACGATAACCTGTGTAAAACCTCAAGGTGCTCTGGCATGGCACATTCAACTAGCATATGTCAACAGCAATGCCATCCCCATGCTCATCCTTAAAGAAACCTGAAACCATCTTTAGCCAGTCTTCATCTTGCTGCTTGACACTAGGAGAAATAGCATGCCCTTACATATGAAACCACTTAGATGACTTTCCTTTAAAGTCATTCCAAGCCTGCCTGTCAAGGAACAAGGTTTACTAATGAAATTCCTTCTCTCCCCCCCCCCCCCCCCCCTTTTTTTTTTTTTAAATTGGTAAATATGAAAGCTATGCAAAAATCTTAACAAAGAAGTAGCAAATAGCTGATATCAGAGCACTTAAGAAACTTGTGTATCTTCCCATTTATTTTTCACAGAACCTGACTACATGGAAACATAAATATCAATAAGAAAAATGTATTAAATCCTTCACTTAGTCAGTATCTCTATACTAATTAATTGTGTGCATAAAATGGTGATAATAGTATCCCACTTGTAGCACTTTTTGAAGACTGATTAACTTATGCTTGTGGAGCACTTGGATATTATACTGATCCTCACCATAAAGAAGTCCAAGTGCATTAAGCGTGCACCCTGATACTGTTGTTTTACCATAGCATTTGTGTGGCTATGGTTGGGGAGCGAGTGTTATTTTTCTAGAAGGGGGGTTAGATGTCACACATTTTTAGACACGGGTCATTATTACTTTAATGAAAGCAGTAGTTTGGGAGTTTGTTTACAACCAGTTTAAATATCATGAAAAGCTGCTGCTACAGCCAAGAACTAAATTCACCTCTGTTGTTCTCTCTTCATTGTTTTTCCTGGCATGATGACCTAGCTTCTCTAGTGCCCTTTGAAGAAAGTTGTTTGCTTTCCAAGGTGTCATCAAAGTAGGAGCTGATATAAAATGGCACTTTCTGATCCTTGAATCATTTCACTGGAATACAAAGGTTAAGCATCAACAAGTATCTTAACTGCATTTTACTCGGGAGCAAACTAATCCTGAAATTCTGCCAGTACTCATTGCTATAAAAAGTGAATTGCATCTGTGATGATGACAGCTTTCTTGGCCTGAACCTTGTGATTCCAACCTATGCCCTTCTTGGCCAATGAGCAAATGATTCCACTCTTCCTCTAATGGTGCATTAGTTATTTCAGTGAAAGGACTCCTGCCTTGCTCCTTCAAATGGGCAACAGTGTGACATGCCCTGAGGAGAAACACCCTACATTTCATTAAGTTTTTGCTAACTGCTGCCTAGTATCAGACCTTCAGTTCCTGATCGAATGTAATGAGACAGCCAAGGCCAATTAATTATAAATTTCATAGTTTATAGTTGGTAGGGTCGGAAGGGACCTGAGCAGATCATCAAGTCCGACCCCCTGCCATGGGCAGGAAAGAATGCTGGGGTCAAATGACCCTGGCTAGGTGATTACCCAGCCTCCTTTTGAAGATCCCCGTGGTAGGGACGAGCACGACTTCCCTTGAAAGTCGGTTCCAGCTCCTAGCTGCCCTGACTGTGAAGTAGTGCAGACCTGGCCCGGCTTGGCTTGGCATGGGGCCATGTGCCTTTGGGTAGCTCTGGGCTGCTCAGGCTGTCACCAGGAGCCCTGTGCCACTTGCAGGGACCACATATCATGCCGGGCCAGGTCCTGTGTGCACAGAACTGGCCCAGCCTGATGGCACGTGGGGCCTGTGCATGCAGAACCCGGTCCAGCGTGATACATGGTCCCTGTGAGTGGTGCGGGGCCCCGGGTAACAGCCCAAGCAGCCTGGAGCTGCCTGATAGTGCATGGTCCCGTGCCAGGCCAGGCCTGCACAACTTGGCACAGGCAGTCCTGGGTGCCAGGTGGCCGGGATTGAGCTGTGCTGTACTGCCTGGGGAAGCAGGGCTGTGGCAGGAGGGCCCTGAGCACACTGATGTCTGCTGCTGCTGCTGTGGGGGGGGGGGAGGGCATGAAGGTTGAGTGGGCGGAGCTGTGGGCCCTGCGGGAGTTGGGGGGGAGCAGTCCACGTACAGTGCAGTGGGGGGGTATGCCCTGTGGGGGGGCAGGGGACTTACCCACATTAAGTCCTCACTGTAAAAGCACTTCTTGGCTTCTGACTGAAAGGTGGTTGTTGGTTTTTGAGTTTTTCACTTTCCCCAAACAGCCTACTGCAAAGTAATCGGGGAGTTATTTGCCAGAATGCTTTAGTCTGAGAGGGCATTATTCCAGCCTTCTAGTAAGAATTCAGGATCAGGTGGACTTGCATATGATTTTGATTTCAGTTATTCAGAATTTAAAGCTGATATTAGATATGGGATTTTTCCTGACCTCAGCAGTGCAAATTGGCCTGCCTGTAGTGCAATACGAATGTGGCTAACTAGCACTTTTATTTAGCAGGGTTAACTAGCCCAGTACCAACATAGTACACATGCAGGGGTTGTTGCTTCTGGTTTAGAAGGGTAAGCAGCAGAGTGTATTTGAAAAGGCTGCTGTCTCCTAAGTTTTGGCATTCATGTGTGGTTGGTTGTTTTTTTTGTTTTGTTTTGTTTTTTTGTTTTGTACCAAGTGACACTGGAGTCATTGACCGACTCTTAAGATTTTATGGTGAGTCCCCTGTGGGGACCCTTTCCCCTGCCTGGGCCTCGGAAGCCATGTAGCTGCTCAAAACCTGCAATGCTTGCTGCTTGACAGCACATGTACAATTGTGCAGGCCCACAGTGCTCTGCTGGCATCCAGCTGGCTGGTCTGCAGGTAGCTGGGCTGGCATCACATGGCCGGAAGAGGGGCTGCAGATCAACCCATCCCCTCAAAGCTCCTGAGATGAGAGGAGCTCACTGGTTGTGTCCAGGGGGAGAGCAAAGGAGGAAGCGCCAGGCGTGTGTCCAAAGCCTTCCTCATGCTCGAAACGGACTCGGGGTGACAGCGGCAGCATGGGTGTTCAGACCATAGAGGGGGAAACCTCCATGGTGTCTGAGTGCTTATTTACCTGCATCATTGGAGCCAGAGACTTCTCTTGGGGCAGGGAGCTCTAGTGAGCCAGAGAACAACATGAACAACTGGATACTTGGGAGAGAGGACCCAGGTATCGGCAAGGGAGCACCTGCAGAGGCACCGACAGGTACAGAGTTTACTGTAACCCCACTTGTGCAAAACCTCACCAGCAAGTACACGCAGGGCTGCTGGGATGGGACCTGGGCAGCCAAAGGGGCATTGCTGGGACCTAGCCAAGGGAAGAACCCACTTGAGAGCATATTGATTCTGGTGGCAGCATTTGAGCAGCTGGGGGCCCAAAATTCCCTGGCAAGCAAACATTAGGACCCCAAAGGTTGTAGGGGTGCAAGAAAATGGCCCTTGGGACATTATAGCACATGGCCGGGCACCAGCTGATGCAGAGCATCAGTCCTCGCAGCGCCAACCCACAATGCAAGATCATGCAGGGATTGAAGTCGCAGCACATGTGGTACAAAGTGATGAGAAAAAATGCCCAGCACTGTGAGCATCATTGCCCTGCTCACCTGTGCCACCTACATGATTTCAGTTCGAGTCCAGTTAAGTTATCAGTTTGCCAGTCAGGCATGCCATAACCACGTTCCTGACTAGAACTACAGGCAGGCCTTCCAGTGGAGCAGATAGTGCCTGTGATACCACCGAAACTGAGCCAGACCACCCAAGTGGAAAGAAGTGAGGTGTAGAGGAGAAGAAGCCTCACAGAAGAAGCATCAGCCAAGGGACCCAGGGTCACAGAAAAATACTGGACCAAACCTTCCAATAGAAACTCGGGTAACATCAAGTCCTGGCAGGTGAGTTGACCCTGGTATGGCACACCCAAGTGGGCAGGGCACACTAGTGGCAGCACTGCAAGTATTGGCCTGCCACAACAATGAAAGACCTTGCAAAGTATAATAAGCAAGTGGGGGACGTCAAATGTGGTGTAGAGACATGGGAAGAAGACGATGTAATAAATGTAACTTCTATACCTGGCCCTAATTCCTCACTAGTAAAGACAGTAAAGGAAGGTGTACTTTGTTTCAGCTGGGAAACTTCAACCATAAGAAAAAGAGGAGGTTTGCAAGCTGCCACACATGGACAGCCAGTCTGTCAAACAAAACACATTCTCTTAGGAGGAAATAAATGAGCACTACCTCCTCCCCCCCTTTTTGCCTCTTTTCTGTCTTGGCTCATCTTATGGCATCTTGCACATTTTCCTCATCAAATATGTTAGTATGCATCATGTTTGCCCTCCCTCAGCAAATATGGTAATATTTAGCACACACAAATTCAGCGATCAAAGTGGTTAAATGGTCCAAGCAAACAAACAAAACCCCAATACTACTTTAGCTTTCTTTCCTATGTGTTTTAAGATGAAATACCTGCAAACCAGCTATCTTAAATAGCAAGTGCTTACCTGTTCTACTCTTTCTCTGCAGGGCTTTTTAACTAACTTGCTGAAGTAATTTTCCATTCCCACTTATTTTCTTTCCTGCACATATTGCATTGTCAATGTCCTCCGATGTTGCCAGGGAAACAGAATCCTGAACTCAGCTGGTCTAATAAGTGAAGGAGAAATGATCTTTTATTGACAATGTTTGCCTATCTATCTGTATGTCCTTCAGCAACAAGAGGAGGATCAGAAAAAGTGGTTCCTTTTACTGAATGGGGGCGGCAACCTTGTGACTGAGGATGCAGAAAAGGCTGAAGTGCTCAATGCCTTTTTCACCTCAGTCTTCACAGGCAAAGCCAGCTCCCAGACTATTGCACTGGGCAGCATAGTTTGGGGAGGAGGTGAGCAACCCTCAGTGGTAAAAGAACAGGTTAGGGACTATTTAGAAAAGCTGGATGTGTACATGTCCATGGGGCCTACCAGGATGCACCCAAGAGTGCTGAGGGAGTTGGCCAATGTGATTGCAGAACCACTGGCTATCATCTTTGAAAACTCATGGTGATTGGGAGCAGTCCCATATGATTGGAAAAGGGCAAATATAGTGCCCATCTTCAAGTAAGAGAAGGAGGAGGATCCAGGGAACTTCAGACTGGTGAGCTTCACTTTGGTACCTGGAAAAATCATGGAGCAGACCCTCAAGGAATCCATTTCTAAACTCTTCAAGAAGAAGGAGGTTATTTAAGAATAGTCAGCATGGATTCACCAAGGGCAAGTCATGTCTGACCAACTGATTACCTTTTATGATGAGATGACTGGTTCTGTGTATGTGGGGAGAGCAGTGGATTTGATATATCTACTTCAGTAAGGCTTTTGATACGGTCTCCCACAACATTTCAGCAAACAAGCTAAGGACGTACAGGGTTTAATGAATGGACTGTAAGGTGGATAGAAAACATATGCATGTGGTACCCACTGCCAGTCTCCCCCCTCCTGCTCCTGCCAGCCCCTTGTAGGCTGGAAGGGATTTCCCATGTTTTTCTCTTTTTAAAATGAGAATTTTTTTTTTTCCATGGCAAATACAAAACCCAGATCTCTGCTAATGATCCATACTGGGGATCAGTACAGTTGCCTTCCCCCCCCCCCCTTTTAAAATTGATCCCTGTCTAATAAGAAGGAAAAACTGCAGGGAAGGTTGTGTGTGGCCCCTGCACTTTGGACATGTTCATCGTGGATGGAATTCAGTTTCCAAGCTTCAATGAATTCATATGGGGCATGTGGAAACTATATTTTTTTCCACACTTGTAAAGTAGATTTGGTAGGGTTTCATGGGGATGGCAAAATGAAAATCCCTGACATGCAAAACTTTATACCAAATTTTAAATCAGTCTCAGCTATTTAAGTTCAGAATAAACCCTCTTTCTACAATTCTGTTTGTATATATAATTCTTGTTTTGTTATTAATGTCCGACTATTGTGACTAGCCCAGGTAACTGTCCTCAGGAATATTTAAGTGGAAAAGAGAAACAGTTTAACAGCTCCAGCCCCTTCCAAACCATTAAATCTCAAGGTAAACCAGAAGCAGTCAGCAGGATTTGGATTTTCAAGTTTCAGGCGAATAGGCCTCGAGTTTCAGTGGAAGTCTGTGCCTGATTCTCTTGGCCTCATTTTAAAATCTTGGTTCAAGCTTCTTTTAGAATAAAATTGGCTGGAAAAACAGCCAGTGCTATGCTAATTGAAGACTGCTTTATTGCATCATCCATTTTAGATTAGAATTTCTAAGTAAATCAGCCTTTATCCCTAGGATCTCAAGATTTCTCCAGAAGAGTGAATTGATCCAAATCTCGTACAGAAAATATTGGGCTGTAAAAGGACTAAAAGCAAAGCTTATTAGAATTTTGAAATTGGTCTCCCACAGTGGGCACATCTACACATGCTATTAATGCACCTGAATAAACTCTGGTGCAATTCATGTCAGAGTTTATTGCTCCCAGGTACAGGGTGTACATGTACACCCAGGATCACAGCATGTTGAGCCAGGTCAAGCAGCCCTAGCTGGCAGGTGATCCTGGGGAATCCGCCTGCCAGCCCAGAGCTGCTGTACCCTAGTTCAGTGTGCTGCAGAGTGGCTGGCTTGGACAGAGGGTGTACAGTGTGGGATTAGCAGGCAGGCAGCCTCTGCACTGTAGCACCCCCATGCCACAGCCAGCTCCAGTCACCATCTACACATGCCTATTGGAGCACTAAATAACTCTGTAGGATAGTACTTGTCCCGGACACTGAAAACCTATGGCAGATTTAGTTAATTTACTGTGCCCAAATAGGGGTGCATATGTAGATGGATGGTGATGCTTTACTGTGAAACTAATTAGCCAGCTCTGCAGTAAAGAGTGTGTGTAAATGCACCCAGTGAGATCAATAGCACAGCTGAGAAATATCCCTCGGTAAACTTTTACTCTGTGTCTTCAGAGTGCAGGTATAATTTGTCATATTTGAATACTACACCTTTACAATCTGAAAAACTGTGCTGGTTTGTGGAGAGAGTAGCTATTTGGTATTTGGAGTTCTGTAGAATCTGCAGGGAAGATGACCTGTGCTTTCTTATGAAGGCTATATACTTTTTTTGTTAGTTTAAAATCAAATGTGGCCAAGGTGTATGACTTCCTTTATGTATAGTGTTAAGCAAGTGTCCTGGGGCTATCATGTTTTCTGTCTGGCTCCCTCACTTTGGAGTCTCCTCTTTTTTTGCTCACCTGCCATGCCTTGATAGTCCAATGATTGATTGAAAGAGAGAGAGGGGGTGGGGGTGAGATCTGTCACAATCAGTGGTAGGGCTCAAGGGGATGGCTTTTCTTTAGCTGGTTCCACCTCTCCTACACCCTTACCACACCTGGCTGTGCTTAAGCTGACAATCTATCGATGTCTTGTCCTCATAGAAACGCACCAAGTGTTTCCAGGCTACAGACGTCATTTCACCATCTAGCTGCAGGATTCACCACTTCACCTATGCTGGCTTATTTGACTGCTTAATTTATAATTCACTTGCTAGCCAGTCTCTCACCGTTGATTCACCAAATCAATTAGCTCTTACTTATCCTTTACCCATGAAGGTGTCAGTCATCACTATGTTTATCTGTATCTGCTTCATTGATTAACAAGTTTCATCACTTGGTTACTTCTTATTTAAACTCCATTAAGTACCAAGCTTTTGTCACTTGATTCTTACTTAGATTTTGTTACTCAAGGAGTTTAGCATCACTCCTTGAATCATCAACTAACAAGCTCAATTGCTCTATTTATCTTCACTTCATACCTCATCAATTCCTGAGTTTGTCAGGCACTGGCTTATCCCATTCTCTCCATTTATCGAGGACAAGTCCCTTGATGGGTTGCTCCCCCACTGGCTCTACCTATCAGTTAACCAGATTTAGAGTACCATCATGTCCCAGCCTTTCACTTGCTGACTCCTCTATTTAGTTAGTCCCTCGACCAGAATAAAAAAAAAAGGAAAAAAGACACCCCCCCCCCCCCCCCCCCCCCCGCCTCCCTCCAGGAGGACTTATCCTCTGCTACTCACTATCACCTCAGGGACCTGGAAGGCTGCCTCTTTTCAGTCTCCAGTTTCTGCTGTCTTACCCACTGTTCTGTCCGGTGTATTCACTCACCTCCTGGCTCTTGCCTCTGGACTGGTGTCTGGGACTCATACTGCTGCCCCATTCTGTGTCTCCACACAGACTGCGCAGCTCTCTCCCAGGAAGAGTTGTGCCTTCCCCTCTCTGGGGGATCTACAGGTGTGCCTGGAGTCCCTTTTTGGCTTCCAGCAGAACTCCCAGCAGCCAATCGGGGCTTGTTCCACCAGCACATGGCTGCATACCTCCTGAGTCTGAGCCTGAAGCAGGTGACAGTCTCATGGAGGCTGGCCATGCGTTTCTGGGGTCAGCACCACAACCCTGGGGCCCAGAGGTAAGTCCCTCAGTGGACTCTGGTCTGGCCAGTCAGCTGGACTATGACAGGGCCTGAGATTGGTGCTTTGTTACATATAGGAAATAAAAAATGCCTGAATCAAGAAAAATATTTGGGGAGTGTCGGACACTTATTTCATTTGTAACTGGGGACTAATGACTGTCTTATTTGTCAACTGTAGCAAGAGCTTGGAGACTGCTTTATTTTTGTGCATGAGTTTTTAATAACTACTTATGGGAATTTTCATGCATATATTACTATTATATTATAAAATACAGTAGAAATAGTGTTTTATGGCTATTAAAGCATGATGCTTTTTTTTTCTGCTGTAGATAATGCTTACTAATTAAATCTCTCTCTGATGCATGATTTCATACACTTGGTAAGTATCCTAATAGCACAAGTGGTCAAGGTGTTTCTGAAATAAAATGTATTTTTATGACTCTCAGCAACTGGTAACTGAAACTGATACTATTGTCAGTTTCTTTTCTCCTGCACCACTAGTGAAAATAGTGAAAAAGATCAGGTAAATTAGCATGGGATGATATCACAAAACATTCTATACAAAATGAAAGTTTTGCTTAATTTTGACATGTTCTTAAAATATTAACAAGCTCATTTACTAACATCTATAATTTCAGAAAATTGCACATCCAAACTTTTGGATTTTCTACTGTTTCAGCATTTCTAAATAAGGATATAAAAAAATTATGTTAAAAAAAATCTTTTATTTTAAAATTAGGGCTTCTCAGCCTTTTTAGACTTAAGGCACCCCTTGGTAAATGCCAGCTTTTAGTTTGTGTTGGTTTTTGACTACAGAAAAATAGAGTAATTCTTCTGTGGCTAGGAACTCGGGAAAACCCAGCAGGCCAGAATGTTTTTTGCACTAGGAATTCCTATTTGAAATCTTTGGGTTTCTCTTGGGAATCATGTTTGCACACCTACCTGTGCTAAAACACCGGCGCTCCTGTGGCACTTTTGAAAAGATCTCAAAGCACCGCAGGGTACCCTGAGTAAGAATCGCTGTTTTTTTAGATGAATGCATGTACTACATACAAAAATTGGAGACATTGTCATTGAACTGCATGTTCAAATTTCTCAAATAGAAGTGAGGGCATGTGTGCCTGGGTTGTCTTTCCAAGATGAACCTCCTCCATCATAGTTATGATTTGTCTGTTTACATGATTTGTTTAAGAAGTATATCCAGCCCTATTTACAAGGGAGTTAAGGCCTAGCTCTCGCCACTATATTTGTTCCCTTCCCTAAATAATAGTAGGCTTTGGGGGGAAAAAAAAGAGGGGTGTGGGGGGGGGGGGGGTGTACGTAGTGATGTGCTGGAAGGTGTCTGAACTGGAGAGTCTTTATGGAGGATGTCGATATTAGTAAGGAGATTAAAGGCCATGTTGAGAGGGCTGGAGGGAATTTCTGTGTGTTGGCTAGAGTTAAGTGGGATAGGGGACTCTCTATTCTCTGAGGTTAGGGTGGCTGGCTGGGAGCATAGTCGGTGTGTATACCCACCACAACCTGAAATTTAAGTAGCTTAGCTGCTGCCTGCTCCAATTCTTCAGGAGTTCCCTCTCCCCTGTGATCCAGCAGTGAGAAAAGAGATGAGAGCAGGGATGGGTTGGGTAGGAAGGTTGGCGGGCAAAGCAGGCACAACAGAAATGCTGGAGCCACTCCCATAGCCTAGCTGAATGTATGACATTTAAGCTGGGCTGCCGGCATTCTTGGGAAATGTGTGACACCTCTTGGTCCTGAGGCTTCCTTTTTGACCACATGCTAAAACAAGGTTCCCTTTTGCTTTGTGTGAGAAGTTCCCTGGGGAAATGGGGCTTAGAGGTCTGTGGAAGGAGCTTTAAAAAAGGCTTGGTCTGGAGGGTTTACAGAGGACAGCAATTATCCAGGAAAGTTTTCCAGACCAAGCACTCTGGAATAAGATGCCTGCCAGCTGAGAGAAATTGGAGAAGAAGCCTCTGAGTTCTTGGCAGAGGGCTGTTGGAAGAGACTGATGAACAGAGGCAGATACATGAAGTAGCTTTGCAGTGAGCCAGTCTTGGGTTTAAGTGGGTGCTGCCTCATGAATTAGGGTCTGAGGGCTGGATGTGTTGTAGAAAAAAAGACATCTCCTCCCCAAAGAACATCACCTTAAAGAAACCTCGGCACAGGGGAAAAGAGTTATTTTGTTTGGTGAGGACCAAGGTGTATCCAGGCCTGCAAAAATTCAGCTCCTCCTAGAAGGAGGGATGTATTCCCTGTGAATCCCTGTATTCATGGATGTGAAGGACAGTTTAGGTTGTCTGAGGAAGACAAGAAACTATTGACCCACATCCAGTGTCAGCAGCTATCTAATCAGGAAGCCACTTGCTGTTACTGGGAATGTGTTCAATGGGACATTTTTCATCAGAAAATGCCAGTTCATCAAAACTCTTTTTTTCCCTCAAACATGCTAGTTCTAACAAAACTTTCATCAGCAAAATTTCTCAGCTGGGATCCAGAGGATTCTGGAGAAGGGGTTGGGGAGGGGCAGAAGGGTGAGGAAAGTGAGAGAGACCTTTACCCTGGCTATAGAAGAACTCCAGGAGTCAAGGTACATGTCTAAGTTGTAGAAGACTGGTTCAAGTCTTGACTTCAAATTATGGCAGAAGACCGATTTTTTTTGGACCTTGTGTCACACCTTACAGGTGAGTAACCTATGGCTGTCTTGGGTGGGTGAAAAAAATAAACACTTTGAAAGCCTCCTCTCCCTCCCAAAGCAGAACCAGGAGAAACTGTGGGACCCAAAAGCTGTTTCTTGACCAGCTTTAGAGTTTATGAGCCCTATAGGCACTTGGTCAGTAGGCGTTGCTATTTCTATGAATGCTCTTCATGTGTGAGTTCTACACCAGAAAGAAAGACTTGTGTTTTTATTTAGTTTAGAGTGTCTGTCCCCAAATTGGTGGGGTTTTGACTTGGGGTGACAGGTGAAATCCCCCTATCTATCCAGTAAGCATTCTTCAGAAGCCAGAAAAGGCACAGAATGGAAAAGAGAGCAATGGATGTGTGCAGATCGCACAGTGTGAAGCTTCAGTACTGCAGTGTTTTAGGGTACACAAAAGGGCCTGATTGTTAAGTGTTGCTCCTCTTCTGAAATTGGTAATTTACTGAGGGAGCGCCGTGTCCTTGTACAAAAGTATCAGGTTGTCTTTGCAAAATATGATTCTTATCTATAGATCCTGTATTTGTAGACTTTGATTGTGGAAGAAAATTATTGTTGCTATTCCCCTACACTGTGTATTTCTCAACAAAAATCTTGCGGGGCCTATTGAATTATCCCATGAAATGAACATTCTGTACCACTTCCTACATAAGACCCCTTGTGCTTTTAAAATGACTGTAAAAGTCATTTACATTAACTCCACCATGATTTTTTTTCACCTTCATAACAATGTTTGATGGGAAGAATTTTATTTTCAGCTATAGGTGTGTAAATAAACGCTATAAAAATTATTAGAATGTGTGAATTGTGTAGGAGTTGGAAAGTAAGACTTCACTTTTATTATACTATCTTCCACAGAAAAATAAAACTGAGAATAAAGAGAACAACACCCAGGTCTGACTACACTCTCTATTCATTTAAGAAGCTGATGGCATAAAACTCTTCCATTTTCCAGGAAAGAACGTACTTGAATGTACACTTATATTTTATAGTGAAACGGTCTTTGGACCCTGTTCACAGATTTTTGGGTCCCAACTGCCCTTCCAGGAACCCAGATGTCTTAATTAAAAATAAACTGATCTTCTATTGGCATGGCTAGAAAAGCCCATTTTTCCTTCCTGCAAAAAGAACTTCCAGTGTAACATTTCCTTATAACGAGTTTCTCAGGAAAATCACTTTTGTTGGGAAAAATGTGAAAATTATCCATTCTGTGTTTCCTGTTTTGACCCTGTTCACGAACTTGCCAAATATTATTTAAATGAATAGGGAACAACTTAACATGCTAAACTTATGCTAGTGGTTTCTTGGCTGGGTGTTATTTATAGGTAGCTGTAAGTGGCTTTCTTGTTGGTTTTAATGATTAGAGAAGCAGACTGTATCCTTGACCAAGTTATGTTTCCTCTTGCAAAATATAACGTGATTACAAGGTGGGGAAATCTGATTCCAGGACTGAAAGGTCTTGTCACTCATTTCAGAATATAGGACTTACGAAGGATAATGAAGCTATTAGAAATTGGGAGGGTCTATAGCATAATTCCTTGGATACCTGTTGGATTATTCCTATTTCTGGAATAATAGGGAATCTCCTGATACTTTACACACGCTTGGTTGCAGAAGCAGAAACTGCCTTGTATAAAGGTATCAGAGTTGTACGCCTCCTCAGTAGCAGAACTAAAAACAACAAAAAATTATCAGAAACACTTTTCTGTTTACTCAAATTGGGAGCTTCTGATAGAAGGGAGGGAACTCTGCAGACAAGTGCTTCTATGCAGAAAGCTCTTGCTTCTGTTGATGTGGGTTTAGATGGTAGCAATTTGGGAGCTAAAGAACTGTTCAGAACATAAAGTAACGCTTAGTGTTTATACAGCCTCATTACCACTAGTCTTTGTAATCTTTTGATGATTGAGTTCAGAGTATTCCCTCTTAATCTAGGAGCAGATCAGATCTTCCAACACACGCTTATGTGTGTTTGTGGGGGAGGGGGGTTGCGGTTTTTTTTTGAAGAGAATGGTAAACATTTAAAGGAATCTAACTAAGCACCCGGCTCTGCAGCAGGTTTTTGAAGGACAAACCCTTGAGGCCCTGCGTGGGTGCTGGCAGCAGAGTTTGGATGAGATTGCC